TTGCAGGCTCCAAGTTCAGCTGAGAGACCTTGACGCAGAAAACAAATAACGTTAAAAGTAATGGAGGAAGCCACCGGATACAGGCCTCAGGTGTCGACACGCACACATATGAGCATGTTACACACAGTCTCTCTGTCTCTCTCTCTCTCTCTGTCTCTCTCTCTCTCTCTCTCTCTGTCTCTCTCTCTCTCTCTCTCTCTCTCACACACACACACACACACACACACCAGGTTTTCCAAGCATGATGCAAACTGTCGCACTGCTTGTGACTTTTACACCCAGTGACATACTTACTGTAGTATGTACACACACACACGCACACCAGGTTTCCCAAGCTATGATACAAGCTGTCATAATGCTTGTGACTTTTATCAGAGTTTAAAGTTCTCTGACCTCCTCCTTTGCTTTGTAGATACCACATATGCTGAGAACAACTCTACCTCGGGAAAGCATGGTCAAAAAATAAGTCAACACACATGGAATTTTCTTATCTTCATGTAACAAATGAATTCATTTGATGCTAAATGATTTATTATTTGCTATACCTTTAGTAAGACAAAATGGATGTCTTTTAAAATGACAATTTAATTTTTTCAAAGTATTATATTTTTATAATTTTTATTCTGCTTGTAAATTTTTCTTAAAGACTGGTCTGTACTTTCAAGAACGTATCAATGTGTATATTAACATAGCTTGGAATGACATTATTTGCATAAATTTAATAATCTATAATTTCATTTCCTTGCTTTGAAAGGTAAAAGATCATATCTAGTCAGCAAACACGTTTAATGTCTTTGCATACTCTTTGTTTTAATATAATAATGCTTATTGAACACCTTTTGCTACTGTGCACTGATTTACAGCACAACAGATTCCTTTTCATGCTTGTAGGTAAAGTGTGTTGATCGTGTTCACCCTAAGTTGGGCCGCCTTAAGAAGCTCTGTGTGAGGACACTATCAGTATTCACTGCTTTCATTTTAGTGGAGCGGAAAACTTTCACTCGCTGGTGCTCACATGTTGCCCTTCCCCCCTGGAACATGGTGCTTCTGCACGGCCCCTCTTCCTCACATTGCTGCACAGTGATGGGGACCCCTCCACCGTCACATGGTGTTAAGTCTAGAGCACAGGTATCACTAGGAGCTTTGTCCCAGTTCTTGGTTTTCTGGTGAGTTTGTTAGCAGAATTATTTGTCTTCTAGAAGTCTGAACTTCTATTACTTAAATCTACTGCCAGCCCATGCCCCCTCCATTGGGTCCTAGGTTTCATACTGTAGTTGTAGCCATTTCCACCAGAAGATTAAAAAAAAATTGTTACATGTTTGATCTTCGAGTGTTTGTAAAGAACCTAATCATTGGGCTGGAGAGATGGCTCAGAGGTTAGGAGCATTGCCTGCTCTTCAAAAGGTCCTGAGTTCAATTCCCAGCAACCACATGGTGGCTCACAACCATCTGTAATGGGGTCTGGTGCCCTCTTCTGGCCTTCAGGCATACACACAGACCGAATATTATTACTTTAGTTCCCATGGAATTTGCTTCTTTGTACAAATGTGAAATAATAATCTGGAAACCATCCTGGCATGTAGCACATGCCTTTAATCCCAGTACTCAGGTGGCAGAAGCAAGCGGATCTATATGAGTTCAAGGCCAGCCTGGTCTCCAGATTGATGTCCAGGTCGGCAGGAATAGAGAGAGAAACCCTGTCTCAAAAACCAAAAAAACAACAGCACAAAGAATCTGAAAACCATTCCCTATGCTATTTTTGCAGTAGCTGGAGATGTTGCCTTAGCCCCCCACTCCATCCACCTTTGACGCCTGACAGAGACACAGAAAAGATAGGGGAGCTCAGAGTCTGATGACCTGATGACTTGCTGAGGGCGGATTTTAAAATAAATTCAATACTCGTTCCCCCTGCCCACTTAGTCCATTGGGACCTCTAGAGCTGCATTCATCTTGCAGATTCATTTGAGAAGAATAGAGACTTACACACTGTTTCTATACATTAAAAAGAATACGTTGAATAACTGTGTTTCTATTAATATTTTTCCAGTAACCTGATAACTGGGATGAATTCACATGAGAGAATTTTCATAGGAAATATGAAGTAATTTTGTTACCTGCCTGCGTGAGAGAGAATTGCACTGCCGCTGGTGTAGTTAGAATCTTACAGGTGTTTATATGGGTTAGGGACCTGAGAGTAACTTAATATGTCATGGCCAAAAATTATCAAGAAAGATAAAATCTTCCAGAATTATGGGTCTCTCTGGAAATTAGCTTCATGAGGAGTAGCATTAATTTCTAATTGTAAGACCCTTTCAAACCACTCTTTCAGTGACAAAATCATATTGGTGGACAGAACTAATTGATACATTTATGAGTAAATGAGACCCCATGCTTTACTAAAGAGTAAGACCTAAGCGCTCACTGAGTCTGCTTGAACATTTCGTCAGAGCAGATCTCTACAGACCATTTATGGAGCAGGGTGCTCTCTCCTTCACCATTCATCGGGGACTTTCCCTTCAACTCTCTCTGCAATTACTTCGCTGTAGGAAGACTTGCATTTTAAAATTTTAATCTGTGGAATTACAAGAAAACTCAATTTTATTGACAGAAGTAGAAAAGGGCCTGTAAAGGATATTACCTAAAAGTAATGAAATGGGAGATGATAGATAGGTAGTTAGGTAAGTGGGTAGATAGATACATAGGTAGGGCAGTAGGTGGAGAGAAAGAAAGAAAGAAAGAAAGAAAGAAAGAAAGATAGATAGATAGATATAGGCGGATGATAGATAGATAGATAGATAGATAGATAGATAGATAGATAGATAGATACAGGTGGAAGATAGATAGATAGATGATAGATAGATAGATAGATAGATAGATAGATAGATAGATAGATAGATGGATGGATAGACGGATAGACGGATAGATAGATAAATGATTGATAGATAGAGATAGATAATAAATAAGTTGATTTTTCTATGACAGCCTTTAATCTATGCTGTATAAGCCCAAGATTTCTCACCTTTTTTATATCTTAAGCTAATTAGAAAGCATGAGCAATTCTCTCAATAGTTAAGTGAGAATTCCTTTTTATTGATTTTATTGAACTCTACATTTTTCTCTGCTCCCCTATCTTCCTCTCCCCTCCCCTTCAACCCTCTCCCATGGTCCCCATGCTCATAATTTACTCAGGAAATCTTGTCTTTTTCTACTTTCCATATAGATTAGATCCATGTATGTCTCTCTTAGGGTCCTTATTGTTGTCTAGGTTCTCTGGGATTGTAATTTGTGGGCCGGTTTTCTTTGCTTTATATTTAAAAACCACTTATGAGTGAGTACATATGATAATTGTCTTCTGGGTCTGGGTTACCTCACTCAATATGATGTTTTCTAGATCCATCTATTTGCCTGCAAATTTCAAGATGTCATTATTTTTTTCTGTTGTGTGAATGTACCACATTTTCCTTATCCATTCTTAGGTCGAGAGGCATTTAGGTTGTTTCCAGGTTCTGGCTATGACAAACAATGCTGCTATGAACATAGTTCAGTTTTAAGTAAGAATTCCTATGTTGTTTCTTTGTTCCCTTTCAAACAAGCCTGCTCATGTAGCCCAGGCTGGCCTCGAACTTGTGATCCTCCTTTCACGTGTATCTTCACCTACTCTATCACAGTTCCAAAGAGTAGATCTCATCTTTGTGTGGTCTGTGTGTATTGCCCTTATGGGTTTGCTTTTCAGACTGCTTTAAGAAACCATGGGCTAATCTGAGACTGCGGGGACTGTTTTACACAAAGAGAGACGATGAAGTCCATAAATGAGGACTGGTAAACAGGCATAAAAAGAAGGTTTCTAATTCCTGCAGGAAAAAAAAATGGTTTTAATGGTCGTAGAAGTGGTAATTATCTGATAAGCAGAATTAATGCTTATCAGCATAAGAGTTGTATTTCCTAAAACATGTCAGGCTGGGTGTGACGGGGCATACACACTGTCTTAGTCGGGGTTTCTGTTCTGTGAAGACACCATGGCCACAGCAACTCTTACAAAGGAAAACATTTCATTGTGTGACTTACATTTCAGAGGTTTAGTTCACTATGATCATGGTGGGACATGGTGGTATGCAGGCAGACATGGTGCTGGAGAAGGAGCTGAGATTCCTACATATTGACCCACAAGCAACAATAAGTGATCTGAACTAGGTGTAGCTTGAACATAGGAGACCTCAAAGCGCACAAGCTTTTGGAGATATTTAAAATCCAAACCATAGAGTCTCACATCAATGCCTTGCACTCAGCAAGCACTAAAGTGTTAATTCTCATTATTATTATTATTTTCACAGTGTCCCTTGGGATACAAACAAAACTGCCTAAAGATATTTCTGTGTTAATGCGAGAGTAAATTAAGTGAATCAAGGTCAAGGCCACGAAAATGGCATCAGGGTAAACCCAGGTGCCCTAGTTAGGGTGACTGTGGCTGAGATGAATCACTAAGGCCAAAGCAACTTGGAGAGGAAAGATTTATTACACTCACACTTCCAGATCACAGCTCATCAAAAGCAGTGAGGGCAGGAACCTGGAGGTAGGAGGTGAAGCGAGGCCGTGGAGGGTACTGTTTACTGCCTTGTTCATCATAGCTTGATTTGTCTGCTTTCTTATAGAACCCGGGGTCACCAGCCCAGGGATGTCACCACCCATAATGGGCTGGGCCCTCCCCATCAATCACTAATTAAGAAAATGCCCTGCAGGCTTGTGTGTGGCCTGATCTTAGGAAGGCATTTCCTCAACTGAGGCACTCTCCTCTCTGATGATTCTAGCTTTTGTCAAATTGACATAATGCCAGAACAGCAGGTTAAATAACAAAGACTTGGTAATTACAAACCTATGGGCTATATATTTCTTACTATGTAAAACACTTTTTACAAGTTATGTGGGAAGTCTGAAAAGCACTACTACATATGCTGCAACCTTTTAGAAGTATCTGGTTTCGTTTTTGTTTTCTATTTTCTCAGGGGAAAAGACAGACAGAATTGGAAAATACATAATTCGATACTTCAAAATGCCAATGGACACAAGCTGGAAAAAAAAAGGTTAAAAACAAAACATTTTCAATAGTAAATTTTTATTCTTTTTATTACATACTTCCAGTAACAAATCTCCTTCTCTGACTGCTTATTGTAGCCATGGTAATTATTGAGAATTATACCCAATTTAGTCAGTTCCCAAAGTATATTGGAGAAAGGGACAAAAGATGACAGCCCCACTAACAAGTGACTTGATGTGTCTGTGGTTAGACAAGGTCACTACAACCTCTGCTGAACTTCTGATGGCAGAATTAGCTATAAAACAAAACAGGATGAACACCTGTGAGTGACAAATTACTGAATCACTGCTCTAAAATAAGTGTTCATTCTCCCTTCCTCCTTCCCTCCTCCTTTTCTCCCTCCTTCCTGCCTCTCCTTTGATTTCCTTTCCCCCTCTTCCTCCATGCAACCTGCTATCTCACTGTATGTCTATATGTGCATATGTATGTATGTGTATAGCCATAAATTTTCTACTTATTTCAGCAGAAGCAGTGCCCAAGGTTGACAGTGACTGACTTACTTTGTAATTAGGACATCAAATGTCCTTCTAAAAGATCAACAGCCTAGTGCTGTCACCGTGGGCTGTGTATCTCTCAAATAACCCATCAAGTTCCCTTCTCCAGAGTTCCTTCCAGGCTACACAAATCATGCTTCTTCATAAATTCCCTTGCCGATTCTCAGTCCAGCATCCAGAAACCACTGACCCCTCCTAGACACAAACATCATCTATACACATCCCATGAATGAGTCTGATAGGCTCTCCTTCCCTGCCTAATCCAGAGACAGGATTAATGTGTTGGTCATGCCAAACCTTAGGTAGGTTTGACTTAAGGTAAATGTCTGACAACTATGTTCAGGAAAATAAATAAGCTCTCTCCTGGACTACATACTGAGCCCCAAGCAAGTAGAGTATAGAGTGAGACCCTATCTCTGCAAATAAATAAACAGTAACATTAAAAAGAGGACAGAAAAAGAAAAGTAGCTTCTCTCAGGAGGCCTGGAGTAGGGAAGGTTGACACTGGCAGGATCACACCCCCTGCCCCCTTCTGTGCTTTATGCAGCATGCTTAGACAAGAGCCCTGACCCAGGGTTTGGGGTCCTGGTACACTGTTCACAGTCATCCCGACACCTGAGGATACCCTGAGAAATCCCAACACCCATACCCTGACAACCTCTCTCTCTTAGGATGATAGCATTATTAACGAAATAGTTTAAAATACCATGTGGTGGTTGTGGCTACATTATTATTTTAAATGGTCCGTGTTCAGTTTTGTTAATATTAGGTGGCCATTAACACTAGAAGACCTGGGCTAGACAGATGGCTCAGCAGTTATGAGTTCTCTGTTCTTCCAGAGGACCGGGGTTCAATTCCCAGCACCCCAATGGCAGCTTTCAGCTGCCTGTAACTCTTCCTCCAGAGTATCTGACACCCTCACACGGACATACTTGCAGACAAAATACCAATGCACAGGAAATAAAAATAAATCACTCGTTTTAAAAAGTGGATATTTAAAGTTTAAACAAAATGTCTGGAAGAGAGAAGACCAGTTGAGTCCTACTTCACCAGGGCATTTTACCTCCCATCTGCACTGTACCTGCAGGAATCCAGAGCCAGACCACCAGCTCCTTCCTTAACATATGTGATCTGGGAGAGAGTAAAGCACATTTGTTTCTTTGGCTTCAGTTGGTTTTGATAGAAATGGAGGACTAGGTCACAAGTCCAAGAAGGTCTAAACAGAGAGGAACTGAGAGCAGAACCCACACAGCTCAGGGGGCGCTGTTGTGGAACACACTGAGGCTACAGCCAAGGCTGGGCTCCAGTTTGGTCATGTGGAAAGAGCAGACAGAGCACAGGGAGTTTCCTATGGGACCACGGGGTGGAAGGAAAGAGGAGTGGGGATTTTACCCTGGACATATCTAGGACTTCAGCATCATGAATGACAGTGTCTCACACTGAGCACCACCCCCCAGTGCGGGTAGCCTACCACCCCCACCACACAGCTATCACCAAACTTGGTCCAATCACATTCTTGGACACTGCTCAATTAAGAGCAATTTGTACTGGAAGACAAACAAGAGGTAGTGAGAAAACTTACCTATGTCCTTGGCATGTCCATTTCTTCCTGTTTTACCTGCTTCTTGAAGCCTGGTCAAAAACCAAGGTGATTCTTCCTGTATGCAAGACTAGGAAGCTCTGGTTCCTTGAGCTCACTAAGGGTAACTTGAGGCATAACACTCCAGCTCTTGAGATGTTACTCATCTGTACACGCCTCCTGGGCTAGGCCAGCAGCTCACACCTGCAGATCTCAGGACTGAGGAGACAGTGGCAGAGGCAGGAGGATTGCAAGTTTGAAGCCAACTTGGGCTACATAGTGAAACCTTGTAGCAATCAATCAATAGATGTTTCATGGGGCCATTTATATCCCAATAGGGTTGGTGTTTTTGTTGTTGCTATAGTTGTTGTTGCTGAGGCTGTTGGTGTGTGTGTGTGTGTGTGTGTGTGTGTGTGTGTGTGTGGTTTTGTTTTGTTTTGAGACAAGATTTCTTTGTAACTTTGGAGCCTGTCCTGGAACTAGTTCATGTAGACCAAGCTGGGCTCAAACTCAGAGATCCACCTGCCTCTGCCTCCAGAGTGTAGGGTTGGGTTTTTTGTGGGTTTTTTTTTTTTTTGTAAGGTTCTGGGTAACTGTTATGACCAAGGCCCAGAAAATGAAGTATTATTTATCTCAAGAATTCCTTACATCTCACTAAGGCAAGATTCCTTTGCAACCCAATCTAGATATGCCCTGCTCAAAGGAAGGAGTACTTATGACTGCATATATGGAGGAGGCTTTATTTCAGGGTCTGCACTTCCTAAAGAATATCCTTGTGATGCCAGCTGTGGGCACAGACTGAGAAGGAACAAACAGACCTCTAAATCCCCAACTTTACCATTCAAACTGATTTGGCCATTATTGTCTTAATCACACTCATAAAGTAACTTGTTCTTTTCGTGTGTGTGTCACATCTAGTCAACACATAAACCTGATGATTGCCACCTTTATAATTAAATCTAGATCAGAAGTCAGCAACCTTTAGCCAAGAGGAAAAATCTGACTTGTCAGTTATTTATTAATAAAGTTTTATTAGAAAATGTCCTGTTATTTACATGTAGTCTATGGATGGTTCCTCATATGAATGAAAAGCTAAGGAATCACAAAGCAGATCAGGGACCACAAAACCTTGGATGTTTACTGTCCAGGCCTTTACCGGAAATGCTCCTGACTTCTGGTCTGGATTTTATCTTTATTTTTCAGAAAGTACTAAATAGGATTCAGGATAATTAGCTTTAAACAGTGTTTTTGTAAAGTGTTGCTTGCAATGTGATGTTATCAATAAGAGACTTGTGTGATGTTTTCTCAGCTTACACGGGGAGACATATCAACAGTTCTTCACGAAGAGGCAGAAAACGAGGTAAAGAAAAATGTGGTTTATCAACTTTCAATGAATAATAATCTTTTAAAATGTTTTTGAGGCAGGATCTCACTCACTATGCAGTCCTGGCTGGCCTGAAACACGCTAAGTAAACCAGTCCTATCTTGAACGCATAGAGATCCACCTGCCTCTGCTTTCTCAGCGCTGGGATTAAAGGCATATGGTACCAAGCCTGGACTTAATTTTTTTTTCATTTTATACTATATTATACTGGGTCTCATAGACAATTTCCATGCAAGTAAATAAGCATTCTTTGAGCAAATTCCACCAGGGCCCATGGCCCTCCACTCCCCATTCCTGTTGGTCCCCTTTGTCTCCCAGACAAATTTGCTCCTACATTCTTATCATCTGTACATATAGTTTTGTGTCTCAAGAGCCACAGATGAGAGCAAACACACCTTTGTCTTCCTGAGCCTCGCTAAGTGTGCCTACCATGATGATCTCCAGTTGTATCCATTTTCCTGCAAACGGCAATAATTTTGATTTTCTTTTCATGGCTGAGAGAAATTCCACTGTGTACATAAATCAGTTTCTTTACTGATTCCTCTGCTGGTGGACACCTAGGATGGGGTCCACAGCTTGTCAGTAGTGCCACAACAAACGTTGATGAAGTAACTAAGCTCTTACTGTGTACTCTGTGCGGTGAGTGACAAGCTGGCTTTCTTGATTGGCTGTGGAAATCAGTACGAAGTCATAAGATCATCAGCAGCGTTGGTCAGTATCAACAGAACCAGACAGATTGCTGGTAACTCCCATTCCTCCGACTACTTAGTTGATTTGGGAGGGATCCAGGGCTGCATGTGTCTTCATGTACTGAACATTCTTGAGGTAAGAGATAAAGTATGTGCCCAACATGATATTTAGCATAACTTTTTCTTGCCAGTGTAGAAAGCCATGGAAACACACAGACCTTGATGGTAAACAAGACCTGTGTTCTAATTCCTCAACTCCTGTGTGCCTTTAGCCTGTCCTTTGCCCTTTCCTAACTCAAATTATTTATCTGTAAGAAGAGACAAAGTAAGGGCTGGAGAGATGGCTCAGCATTTAAGAGCACTGCCTGCTCTTCCAGAAGACCTGGGTTTAATTCCTAGTACCCACATGGCAGCTAATAACTGCCTATAACTTGTATCTGACACCCTCATGCTGACATACATGTAAGTAAAATGCCAATGCACATTTTTAAAAAATGTGGCATCCAGTTTCAGGTGAGTTTAGCTGAGTACCCAGCCAGGGCCTATGTTGTTTTGAGAGACTGCTCTGAAGCAGCTGTGGGACCCTCCTCCCACCCCAGCCCAACCCCACAGTGTTGCTGATGTGTAGTGATGAGGGGAGCAGGCCTGCTTTCCTACCGCCCGGCTCCTGGCCACCTGGCTAGCTTAGCCCCGGAATAACAACACACAAATTATATTCATTTAAACACTGCCTGGCCCATTAGTTCCAGCCTCTTATTGGCTAACTCTCTTGGTTAACCCATGTCTAATAATCTGTGTAGCACCACAAAGTGGTGGCTTACCAGGAAAGATTCTAGCCTATATCCGTCTAGGGTCAAAGAATCATGGCGTCTGCCTCACTTTCCTTCTTCCCAGCATTCTGTTCTGTCTACTCCGCCCACCTAATTTTCTGCCTTATCAAAAGGCCAAGGCAGTCTCTTTATTAACCAATGAAAGTAACACATAGACAGAAGGCCCACCTATCCCATTGATGGAACCTTTAACTGGCTGGAAAAGAGGGAGCCACTAATACGGAAGTTCATTTTAAGGCCTTCAATATCTGGTTCATTGAAATTGGATCCCACACAAATGAGACATACACACAGACTGCCAGACACAGGCATCACCAGTAGGCACCAGGCATGTGCTAGGACATAGACAGGCAGGCTGAGTGGAGGTAGGCACACAAGCCTGCAAATAGACACATACAGGCAGGCAAGCTGGTAAAGGTGGCCTCAAGGCCATATTTATACAGAACCACGCAAAAGCTGCACTCTGCCAGAACTGATTATCTAAAACATGGCATCACTATTTACTTTGGGGTTTCCAGATACTTGGTGTTAGCTAACTCAATGTGCTAACTCATTGTCATCCCCCCTTCCCACCATATACAGTACCAGCCATGTTTGAGCTGACATATCAGATAGCCATATCAACACCATGTTGTTTAATATAAACACCCTCACAGCTTTCTGTGTCTAACACAAGCACCCTTAGAGTGGTATGCAGGGCTCCTCTAGAATTGCAGAATCTTCTAGAGAAACTGCCTGAGGCCTCAGGCAAGCTCCGGAGAGGAGAAAGACAGCAAATCAGATGAAAGGAGAGTGATGACATCACCTCATTGGGTGCCCCCTTCCATCCCCCTCTACCGGAGATGCCTCCAACAGCAGAACAAAATTTGAGAGTTATCATTCCCATATGCAGAACTCCCAAGCCATTGCATAATGAGAACGATCTATTCAAAATATTCGTAGGAAAGTCTCTGTACAGTGGCTGCTGTGACCAACCAACCTGTTTGAGAGCTGGGATTCTGACACACAAGGCTTCAGCCACTATGCAGTTCAGAGGATAGGAGCAGAGCAGGTTGTTATCTGTAAGAATCTAATCATTCGTAAAAGAAATCCCTTCAGGTGTAACTAATTCCTGAGGAAAAAATGATGTGTTTTAAGTTGCAGAAAGAAGATACCAAAGTGGGTAGAGGGAAGGGCATGCACAGATCTATAATAAAGCAAATTATGTCCCTGCAGGTCCAAGAATTCCCAAACAAAACAATGTGGATTTTAACCGTCCTGAGCTTCCGGTGACCTGTGGTACTGCTAAGGGGACTCTGTATAGGGAGAAATTTAAGAAAGGTGAGTTTCAGATCTTCTGTGCTCTTCACCTGGACAATGGCACCATGTATGGGGTGGGAACCTGTGTTGGGGGTGTCTCATCTCAGAGTCAGTTTATGGGACTCATGATATCGGCAATGTCACACCCGTTACTGAAGTGAGGGTTTGAGGCCAAGTTACCAATGAGAAGAGGGCATGAGAGGACAAGTCCAGAGGAGCCAGAAGCTTTTGACGATGCTCTCCTAGTGGGGACACACACAGTGCAATCAACCACCCCAGCAATGAAAGTGTGAAAGGCTTTCTTCCAAAAGGGCTTCTAACAGCATGGATTTATTCAGGTACCTATCTGCATAGCGCACACCAAATCCAGACACCCACATGTACAGCGGGTCTTGTTTGTGAAATAAACTGTAAATGGTTTTGGCATTTTGAGAGTTACTCTGTGTTTCTGAAAGTGACAGAAGCTCTCCCCAAAGTCACATTTGCAGACTACAGCCGAAGTCCGACTGTGCCAGGCGGCGTTTCTTCAGAGTCTCAGGCCTGCTGTGTTCATTCTTTTCTGCACCAAAACCAAGAGAGGAGTAGCAATGAGGACATTTTTTAATTTTTTTTCTTATTCTTTTTCTTGTACTATTGGGATTAAACCCAGGGCCTGTGCCTTTGAGCCAAAAGCTCTCTCACTGAGCTGCACCCTAAACTGCAGTTTGGCCAATTTAAATATCAAACGTCCCTGGCCTATCAGGTCATCTCCCCTCCCCCCTGTGAAAAGGGGCTATAAGATGCCTGTTTAGCATCACAAACCAGAGTAAGCCCTAACACACCAGGATGGGAAGTATCTGTGTCTGAGAAAGTCAGTATCAACTTAGTGGGTCCATTAGATGTAACCTCTGTCAAACTTTAAGCTTAGTAAGAAAAAAAACAGAGGATTTGGATTGAAATTTGGATACATTCAAACCTCAGCTCTCTTGGTGTATTAGTCCAGTGTTCTTTGCTCTACTGAAATGTTCAGTCAGGCTGCTCTATTTAACTTACAGATTTAGAGGCTAAAAGCCCAAGATCAGGTAGCCTCATATATGAGCCTTTGGAGAGAGACTGACGGCAGGTGGCATCATGGCAGGGACAGGACATATAGGAGGAAGAGATCACACCATAAGACAGGAAGCCAGACAGTGGCTGGGGTCCCATGAGAACTATCTCAATCCCTCCCAAAGGCAGCACCCTCCATGATCTAGTGCTACCTCACCTACCACTTTCTTTTTTGTTTGTTTGTTTATTTTCTTTTTTTCTTCAAGGCAGTATTGCTCTGTGTAGCTATTGGAGCCTGTCCTGGCACACACTCTGTAGACCATGCTGGCCTCATATAGATCTGCCTACCTCTGCTTCCCAAGTGCTGATATTAAAGGTGTGCACCACTGCTGCCCAGCTAAGGACCAGGTTTTCAATATATTAACCCTGAGGGGATACACTCGAACCATAGCTCAACCACAGGTCAGTTTCTCTGTCATCTGCATCAGGCTCTCTAATACTAAACCTCCTCTACTTTGAAATGAGAATAAAACTTCTCTCACCATATTGTTATGATAAAAAAAGATAATGGAAATGAAATGTTGTGGGAATTGTAGTTGTTAGAGTATAGTGCCACTGGTCCTCTATCATGATTGGCCTTCCTTTCCACAGCACAATTCTTTCTTTAAAATTTACTTTTACTTTCTGACTATGAGTATTGGGCTGCATGTGTCTATACACTGAGTGTGCCTGGTGGCCATGGAAACCAGAAGTGGACATCAGATCTGGAGCCATGGATGTGAGCCCCATGTGGGTTCTGAGAACTGAACCTGGGTCTTCTGCAAGAGCCGCAGTGCCCTTCACCATTGAACCATTTCCCTAGCACCAAAGTAGTTCTTTGTTAGCAACAAATAAGTGTTTTCCCTGTGGTTCTACTGCCTACATGAAATTTAGCTGTTCCATGTAGACAACATTTCCTAAATCACTTTTAACATCAACTAGTCATGAGTCTAAAATATTGAGGGGTAACTGTAGTAGGAGCTGCGGGCTGTGTTCCTGCTGCCCCAGCTCCTGGTCGCCTGGCTAGCTTATGCCCCGAAATAACAACACACAAATTGTATTCTTGTAAACACTGCTTGGCCCATTATATCTAACCTCTTCTCAGCTAACTCTCGCACCTGGACTAGCCCATTACTAATAATGTGTGTAGCATCCCAAGGTGCGCTTACCAGGAAGATTCTAGCCTACGTCCATCCTGGTCGGAGCTTCATCTTGTCTGCCCCAGAGAGGAGAGCTATCGAGTCTGAGCTCACTTCCTCTTCCTCCCAGCATTCTGTTCTGTTTACTCCACCCACCTATGTTCTAACCTATAAAATGGGCCAAGGCAGTTTCTTTATTAGCTAATGACTTTCCTCCATCATTTCCCCCTTTTCTGTTTAAACAAAAAGGAAAGGCTTTAACTTTAACATAGCAAAATTACATATAACAAAACAGTTATAAAGCAAGAATTACAGTTACAATATTTACATCTACTTTATCTTTTATAATAACTAAGGAAAACAACTATAATTATCTATCTATTCTTCAACTCCATCAAAGATGGAGTATCCGAGAAGGATACAATATTACCTAAGCAAACAAGAAATAAGCAACTTCCAAACTCTAGAAGTAACAGAGACATCTCGCTGCCTGGACAGTCACCCAAAGTTCCTTTGTACCGTTGGGGCATCCATCTTCGACCTACAGGCCCATAGTTTCCAGCAGACATTTCAATGAAGCAGGAAATTTTAAAGGCAGTTCAGTCACTATCTGCTGTGTCCTGCAGAATGTCTTGCAGACTCTTTCATGAATCAGGAACCCCGAAAGATCATCTCACCTTTAGGCAAGTTCAGTAGTCCTCTCTCTGCGGGTTCTCTGTGTCCAGTTTATGCAATAGTCCAGGCTAGAGCAGTTTCTTGCCCAAATGGCTATCAAACTCCATAAGGATCCTCTTCAATGTCCATCTTCTTCTTGAAGTAGATTGGTGTTTCCAGGAGCAGACATGTCTCATTGTCATGAAAAACCCTAAGTTATTAAAACATTAAGTAGCATATTCCGTAGTCTTTGAAAGATATGAAGAATGCCGATCTAACTGAAATATATATCTATATATCTAGAAAATCTAACTAACATGACTACAAACTTGACTATTATTAATGATTATCCATTAACCACCTATATACATTACATTTTTAAATGAACTACACAATCACAATAGCCTCTGAGATACCAGCCCATTGGGACGTGGTCTCTCTCCCTTTAAAAAAGCAACTATTGGCTGGAGGAGCTGAAGGACCTCCCGTAACAGGTAACTAACTGTCATGACCTGGAAGTGTAATGTTATAGAAGTAGCTGTACTGGCAGCTTCCTCATGGCTGGATTCACAAGAGTCCAGCATGGAATTTTCTGCCCTCACTCACCTTTTTGAAATGCAAGTTGGCCCTACACTTGGTCACAGTAAAACAAGGATAAATAACCCTATTTTAGGGCCATTTTTTTATCTTTTATTATTACAGTAGAATGCTTTTAAAGGAAATGCCAAAGGATGAAGAGATGGCTTTGTGGTTAAGCATACTGACTGATCTTCCAGAGGACCCAGGTTCAATTCCCAGCAACCACACTTGGCTTACAACCATCGAGGACTAGAGTTTCCAGAGATCCAGTGCCCTTTTCTGACTTCTGTAGGCAGTAAGCACAGATGTTGTATACAGACATACTTTAAGACAAAATACCAATACACAAAAATAGATGAATTACTTGTATGCCAGGCAGTGATGGCACTCACCTTTAATCCCAGCACTCAGGAGGCAGAGACAGCCTGGTCTACATAGCCAATTACAGGACAACCAGGGCTGTTAAATCCTTTCTCAGGGGGGAAAAAGCTTTTTGGGAAAAGCATATAGGATAACATCAGTGGTAGTCTTTCTCTGTCCTTGCCTATCAGGATGGGTGTGTGGCCCCTGATGACTGAAAGGGAAATGCACATCCTCCTGAGACTAAACCTCAGCCCCAGACCCAGGATGATGATGGGCCAAGGGCAGGTGTTTTTGTAGCTGGCTGTTCAGTTTGTCTTGGTCTCACAGGCATCTATGAGAAGAGTATACGGAGCGAGACTGGACGTTGGTTGACTCCCAAGGAGTTTGAAATCAAAGGAGATCGCCAAGACTCGAGGAACTGGAGGCAAAGCCTGCGTTGCTATGGATGGCCCCTTGGAGAGTTGATAAAGGTATTCTGGGGGCATATAGCTTCCATGGTTCCTGGGTAAGACGGTGAATTAAAAGCTTCTATGTGATAGGCAGCTTCAATTATTCTGGGGTGAGACAAGAGATTAGAAGCTCTCTCCATGTGACTGGTAACTTCAACCAAGTCATTTCACTGCTGTATTTCACTGACACCAGACGGTAGCAGAATGTCTGTTTACAAGATACCATTATGATTCTTCTAAGCCGGGGTCCATGGCATGGGCTGATGCCAGTATGCCACTCAAGTGTTACCTTGACTGGCTTGCATTATAGCTTAATCATTGAAATGCATTAATTTGCATCCTGTGGATGGTAGGAGAAAAGACTGCGACCTTTACCATTAACTAGCTACACAAAATTTGGTAGCATGAATATAATTTAAGTTAACGTTGAGTGTAATTTAAACGTGGAATGCCAGTGTGAAAATAATACATGGTTACGTATCTAAAGATAATGCACCCGTGTGGACGCTTGCGTTACAGGATTGTCCAGCAGTTCTTCTTCCAGGTCATCGTCTCACACTTGTTCTTGAACAGCTGAGTATGGTTGCCACACCTGTAATCCCAGCACTTGAGAGACTGAGGCAGGGAGATTGCTCCAAGCTCAAGGATGGCTTAAATATTGTAGTAAATGCCAGAACAGGTTACAGAGTGAGACCAACCTCAACTCTATCTACCAAAAATAAGAGTAAATAAAGGAAAAGTAATTTGAAATTGCATTTTGAAATAAGTTCTTTGCTCTTCGTTTATATCAATCCCCTGAATTGGGGAAATCAAGAGGTTTCCTCAATAGTAGAACCTGTTTCTTTTGATGTAGGGTTCACAGATCTTTCTGGCATGTGTCTCAGATGGCCTATCCCTGTGTCATCCTCACAATGAAGGACAAAAGTTTTCTCATTGAGTATTGGCTGAGCTGCATCTAAAGCATGGGGAGTACAGATGTGAGCCACGGGCCAGGGCAAGGTTGCACCTTCATACCCTACCTGCAGTTACTACTGTGGAGGAGAGGAGTCTGTAGGAAATGATGCTGCAGCTAAGGGGTGGGATGGCTATTTCTTGATTTAGGACTAAAAGCCTTGTTATGGAACAGTCTTCCCTGAGCTGGGTCACAGAGGGCAGTTCTGACAAAGTGTAGGGGTGGGGTTTTCTGCATGGGGAAAGAAGGGCATTAGAAACCAGCCCTCAATGTGTCTGGAACTGTGGGAGATCAAATAGCATCTCTTGTCTGAGCTCATTGTGAAAATCACCAGGCTAGGAAAAGGTAGTTAAATGTCTCCTTGACTCAGTGTGAGGGCACATGGGGAGTAATTTCCATGACAACTTGTATTTAACAATGGTATATCCAGACAGAGTAACTAGAAAGCAGTTAGAAATACAAAATAAAAGCAAAGACTTACCCCATCATTAACATCTCTGTCTTTCAGAAAGAATTGCTACCGAACCCACGAAGGAAAAAGGAAAAGGTAATTATTCCAAGATCTCCTTCCATGATGTCTGATGCCATCATCTACAAATTGGTAGTTGTGTCCCATACTTTCTTCATCCATTCTTTCATTGAAGGGCATCTAGGTTGTTTCCAGGTTCTGGCTATTACAAACAATGCTGCTATGAACATAGTTGAGCATATACTTTTGTTGTATGATAAGGCCTCTCTTGGGTATATTCCCAAGAGTGGTATTGCATGGTTCAGGGATAGGTTGATCCCGAATTTCCTGAGAAACTGCCACACTGCTTTCCAAAGTGGTTGCACAAGTTTGCATTCCCATCAGCAATGGATGAGTGTACCCCATACTCCACAACCTCTTCAGCAAAGGCTATCATTGGTGTTTTAGATTTTAGCTACTCTGACAGGTGTAAGATGGTATCTTAAAGTTGTCTTGATTTGCATTTCCCTGATCGCTAAGGAAGTTGAGCATGACCTTAAGAGTCTTTTGGCCATTTGAACTTCTTTGAGAATTCTCTGTTCAGCTCAGTGCCCCATTTTATAATTGGGTTGATTAGCCTATTACAGTCTAGTTTCTTGAGTTCTTTCTATATTTTGGAGATCAGACCTTTGTCAGTTGCGGGGTTGGTGAAGATCTTCTCCCAGTCAGTGGGTTAAAGAGGAACATGGGATGTACTCACTCATATTTGGTTTCTAGCCATAAATAAAGGACATTGAGCCTATAAATCGCGATCCTAGAGAAGCTAAATAAGAAGGTGAACCCAAAGAAAAACATATACCCTCCTGGATATTAGTCTTCATCAGGCGATGAAAAGAGACAGAAACAGAGACCCACATTGGAGCACCGGACTGAAACCCCAAGGTCCAAATCAGAAGCAGAAGGAGAGAGAGCACGAGCAAGGACCACGAGGGGTGCACCCACACACTGAGACAATGGGGATGTTCAATCGGGAACTCACCACGGCCAGCTGGCCTGGGTCTGAAAAAGCCTGGGATAAAACCAGACTCGCTGAACATAGCGGACAATGAGGACTACTGAGAACTCAAGAACAATGGCAATGGGTTTTGATCCTACTGCATGTATTAACTGTGTGGGAGCCTAGGCTGTTTGGATGTTCACCTTACTAGACCTGGAAGGAGGTGGGAGGTCCTTGGATTCCCCACAGGGCAGGGAACCCTGACTGCTCTTCAGGCTGATGAGAGAGGGGGAGTTGATTGGGGGAGGGGGAGGGAAATGGAAGGTGGTGACAGGGAGGAGACAGAAATCTTTAATTAATAAATAAATAAATAATAATAAAAAACAAAAAATACAAATTGGTAGTTGTGATCTCTGTCACATTACAGTTGTTAAATTCACTGATTATGGTAAAAATGGATTTTATAAGAGGGTATTGTTGTGATTAATATTATAAAATATTATACAATATGAAAGGCCAGTGCTCCATTTAACATTAAAACATTTGAGATTGAGGTGGTAACAATTCTTAAAAACAATAAAACAATGGACTGTCAATATGACCCAGGAATTAAACCTAATGACCTGCGTTCAATCCCCAGGAATTATATGATGGAAAGAGAAAACAGGCTCCTTAAATATGTCCTTTGCTCTCTACCTCATTGTCACATGAGTGTCTATACACTTGTATATATAAAATGCAATTTTTAAAGACCTAAATCCTGCAAAGATGGCTTAGTGGTTAAGAAAACTAACTGCTCTTCTGAAAGATCCAAGTTTATTCGCTGGAGACAAGGCATTGAGCTCTCATCTCTGGAATCTGGATAGCTAATTGGATGACTGAGGTAGATCCTGAGGTTTCTGGTCCATGGACCACTGCTTGCAGGCAGAGATCTCACCTGATGACTGTGCATTAGAACCCCTCAGAATGTTTAAGCATCCAGTGCTTGGCTCCAGCCCTGGCTCAGCGAATTGAAATTCATGTTAACTGGATCCTAAATATGTGTTTTGTTGTTTTTTTTTCCCTCAGTGTTAAAGATCAAACCTAGGTCCCCTTTCATGTGAGGTTGAACATTCGCCCATTGGACTACACTCTCAAGCCTGGAAATTTTTTAATTCCATGAATGATTTTAGTCTATAACATGTTGATGATTACTGTTAAATAAAAGAACAAATTTCTGGTTTAAAAAAAAGGGAGGTTGGATGGCGTAGGAGGTCCTTCTGTTTATGTATTGCTTTCATTGGTTACAGGGAGCGGGGCCCTTTGTTCGTCCTGGCTGCCCAGCTAGCTTATACCTGAAATAACCACATAGAAATTGTATTAATTAAATCACTGCCTGGCCCATTATCTCTAGCCTCTTATTGGCTATCTCTCACATCTTGATTTAACCCATTTTTAATAATCTGTATATCACCACGAGCTCATGGCTTACCAGGAAAGATTTAGCACATCTGACCTGGTGACTCCATGAAAGTTCTCTCACTCTGCTCTCTTTCTCCCAGAATTCAGTTTCCTTTTCCCCACCTACCTAAAGTCTGCCCTATCAGGCCAAGCAGTTTCTTTATTGATTAACCAGTGAAAGCAATACATAAACAGAAGGACCTCCTACAGTTGGAGAAAAGCTCAGTGGAAGCTTGCTCTTTCCAAAGACCTAGGTTCAAAACCTAGCATCCACTTGGTAGCTTGCAACCATCTGTAATGGTAATTCCAGCAAATCTGACGCCTTCTGTCCTTTGTGGGCCCCAAACTCACAAGTAAGATGCAAACATACATGAAAGCAAAACATCCATACACATAGAATTAAAGTAAAAACAAAAAAATCAAAAGGACAAGGGCATGGCTAAGTGGTGAAGTGTTTACCTAGTGGTAGATGCTTGTCTATCATGCTTCAGGGTCAAACTCCAGCACCATGGAGGAAGCACCACTTAAAGAGAGCTGGATGTGTATGGGGATGTACCTTAATAGTGCAGTGATTGTCTAGGTTTGTGTTCTATGCCCACATTAAAAAAGATAAACCCAAGGGCCCATCCAGGCCTCTAGACAATGGACCACTATGTAGATTTGCCTGTGTCCTGCTCTTCCTCAGGACTCACTTGCAGTGTTTTTAATAAATGACTCAGAAATCTTGACCCAGCAACTTGATAAGAGTGTTCAGCAAACATAGCCTCACCTGCTATTACAAAAAGCAAAGACTGTTGCAAGGTTCCCTGCCCCGAGGCCCTGTTGAAATAGATGCCTCCAAACATGTCCCTCAGGGGCCATTCAAGGTACCTATAAAAGAGATCCCATGACCAGATTCATGTTTGCAGCCTAGAATATGAACATTGTGTGTTCTTTTTTTTTAATTAATTTATTTATTTATTAAAGATTTCTGCCTCCTCCCCGCCACCGCTTCCCATTTCCTTCCCCCTCCCCCGATCAAGTCCCCCACCCTCATCAGCTCAAAGAGCAATCAGGGTTCCCTGATGTGTGGGAAGTCCAAGGACCACCCACCTCCATCCAGGTCTAGTAAGGTGAGCATCCAAACTGCCTAGGCTTCCACAAAGCCAGTACTTTTGTGTGTTCTTGTGTCATAGTCAATGTCTGGGTGAAGAGAGAAATCAAAAATTACAATTTTATCCACTTAGATATTTTTCTTTATTGGTGATGTCACGGATAAGGAATTCTGTACCCCAATAGTATCAGGCCGTACACATGTGGTGAGACTTAAACTTAGGGTGAGCATGACTGGTATAGGGCTGGGTGTCTGAGACAGGGAAGGGCAGGGATGAGTCAGGGTTCACATCTGGGCTTCAGATGATGGGAGGTTAGAGGCTCATTATAACAGGGGAACAGGGACAGTGTTACAGACAATAAAGACCTCCCTAGCGAAGCACAGAGTGAGTGCTGGAGGCCCAAAACAAGACCAGAACACAGACCTGAAAGACTAGAGAAAGAGTGGTCATGGGAAGAACTGTGAATATTGAGGCAAATGAAATGAGTTGAGGGTAAAAGATAGAATCCAAGGAGCCCCACGTTCCAATAGTGGAACTAGCTCTACAACCCTAGGTGATTCTCCTAAATATATTTATTTAATGTTAGAAATGTCACCTTGGAAACTGATTCAATAGAATCAGAACCCAAGATAGTCTTGGCTACATGAGCCCCCTCTCAAAAAAAAAGATAATGAAATTAATTTATTAATTAAGTTACATTAAGATATTATATTTTGGAGTTAGGCTATCCTAAATGGTAAATATGTTAGGTTATCTTTAATTCAATTTTTCTCTTACTATTGTTTTTTTTAATTATTTTTATTGATATCTACATGTTTCTCTGCTCTCCTCCCTACCTCTCCCCCTCCCCTTCAATCCTCTCCCAAGGTCCCCATGCTCCCAATTTACTCAGGAGATCTTGTCTTTTTTTAATTCCCATGTAGATTAGATCTATGTATGTCTCTCTTAGGGTCCTCATTGTTGTCTAGTTTCTCTGGGATTGCAATTTGTGGGCTGGTTTTCTTTGCTTTATATTTAAAAACCACCCATGAGTGAATACATGTGATAATTGTCTTTCTGTATCTGGGTTACCTCACTCAAAATAATGTTTTCTAGCTCCATCCATTTGCCTGCAAAATTCAAGATGTCATTATTTTTTTCTGCTGTGTAGTACTCCATTGTGTAAATGTACCACATTTTCCTTATCCATTCTTCGGTCGAAGGGCATTTAGGTTGTTATTGCAATAGTGTTTCTGTTATTTCCATGTCAGAATTGCTGTTTTCAAAATGTAACTTTTTCTAGTCTGACAAATCCCAACAATTCTCTGAACTTCATTTCATATCAGAATGCCATTTTCTAACAACTCTGTTCAATACTAGTCCTTAATATTTTGAGGAGAGGGCCTGGTGAGATATAGAGAGAGTTAAGAGCACTGATTGTTCTCCCAGAGGACCCTGGTTTGGTTCCCAGCACCCATTGGCAGCTGACAACCACCTGCAAATCCAAGGCCAGGGGATAAGATTCCAACTTCTGGCCTCTGCAGTCAACTGCGCATATGTGGTGCATGTATATACACTCAGGAACACACACTTAAAGCGAATATTTGAAGTCTCCTTTAGAGTAAAGAAATTTCTGGGCCACCTTGGTTTAGGCAAAGGCCACCTGCTCTAATATTCCGGTGTCACACTGCTCTTGATGATTTCTGCAATATTTCTCCTTGTAGCTGGAAAATTCAAGACATTGTATGGTATGCGGCGGGCGACGGAAATTGCGCCCTTGTGTTAGTTGTAGAAAATTCTATCATAAGACTTGCCACATCCCACCTGTGGAAGACAAGAGGTTAGTAAGACAGCCCTGCTTCTACCAACCCCCCGGCCCTTCCTCCTCAGGACACACTTCCTCCCTACACACACACACACACACACACACACACACACACACACACTGCTGGTTTGCTGTCTCCAGTTGGAGATATCTTGATACAATGAGAACAAGACTCTTAGTCTCAAGATCCAAATGTATCCAGAGCAGTTTCTCAGCACTCATAGGAGAAGATTAAAGGAAATAATTAATAAAAAGTGATTACCTGAAAGAAGTGTTCCTCCCTGTCACCTATGTGCTCCACTGGGGTGATAGCACTGAGGAGCGGTTGTTGGCTTTGACCGTGCATTCATCTCCCCCACTACAGAATTACAAAGTTGATAAAGCTGGGCTTTCAAGCCTTCAGAAATACGCCCCAGCATTCTATCAGACTAGTTGATCCTGGGTTGCAGAGCACTGCATGAGAACTGGAAATTCTGTGTGTCAGCACCCCACCTCCACCCCCGCTAAAGCACCCCTTTGCTTTAGCTATATCTCTGGGCAGAGATAGAATGTGAGATTCCGAGAGGTTGAAAAGGGATGGGATGGGCTCTGTGAATGGTGTGGACGAAACTACTGTGACCCAGGGACTGATGTCTCCTGGAACGCCTCTAAGAGAACATTGCCCTCTGGTGACAGGAGGAGTCATAGCACCACCCACTGCACCCAGGGCACCATCTCAGAGGATTATTGGAAACCACTTCTTCTAGCTAGTTAGACATGATATCAAGGCACAGAAGGAATCAGTTCTTTCACTCTGCCCACATGCAGCTCCCCACTGGGCAATGTCAGAAGAAAGGACACCTGTAGCTTTTGCTGTGCTTACTCAGCAAGGCTGAGAAGCAAGGGTTGTTTTCTGGTTTTCTGACTATAACTGTCATCTATTTGGCTCATCAAGGTTCAAAACTCCTGTGCTTAAGGCACTAACTTCACTGCTATGACCAAACATGGCTTATTGTCAAGCTTTCAAAACTCAGAAGGAAACTCCAAGTTTTGAGGTCAATAGGAATCCATTACTTCCTTGGGTACCACCTCATTCACAACACTCACTCTTGATAGTAGGTATTATATTTGCCTATCGAACCCACATGGAGAGCCAGTCCAGTGTCCTCCAAGAGTGACGTTGAATACTAGGTGGAAAGCACTGACCCTCTTGAACAGAGGTCTTTGTCAGCCACAGGAATGTGGGCTGGTCCACAGCCTCTGGCCTTGCTCACTTTATCTCTGATCTCTCAGTGACCCTTGGAGTTGTGTCATCTGCAAGATAAAGGATCAGGCAAAGTGCCAAGAAAATCAAGCACGCCATAAGGAATCTGAGGTCCTGAAGAGGAAGATGTTGCCTGAGGAGCAGCTGGTGAGTCAGTGTAAAGTTGAAGGTCTCTCTTTTTGGTTGGTAGAGGAACACGGTCGCACAGAGAGTAAGGAACAGAACCCCAAGGTAAATTGTGTTGTGCTTTAATCACAAGACCCAGTGTGAAATTCCTATTCCAGGGAGTATTTGTATTTGTAAATACCGTTCGTATTTGTCTCAAAGGGGTCAAAGGTCTGAGAGTCATTTGTTGAATCTTGGAATTTAAGCAGGCCTTTTCTCCCTAAGTTGCCTTCCACTTAGATTGCCTTTCATCTTTTGCAGAAATGTGAGCTGCTTCTCTTGACTGTCTATTGCCATTCAAAAAGTGTCTTTTTTAAATTCAAACCAAAGCAAGTAAGTAAGAACAGCAAAACTGAAATCTTGTGAATGGTTTTATTCCGATAAAAGTTGGCTTTCTCTTGCCTTCTTGTTGAGTGTCTTTGTGCAGGAAGCCATACATAGCAAACTACCATAGACTGGGGCAGTATACACAATATAAATTTGTTTCTTATGGTTCTGGACACTGAAGGTCTGAGGCCAAGGTGTAGATAAAGTCTGGCTTCTGGTGAGGGTCTTCTACTTCTTTGTTTGAGACAAAGTCTCACTGCATCTCTGTCTGACCCGGAATTCACTCTGTAGACCAAGAAGGCCTTGAACTCATAGAGATTTCATTTGCCTCTGCCTCCTAAAAGCTGGGGTTAAATGTGTGTGCCCTCACAAGTGGCTAAAAGTCTTCTAGGAAGCAGGCAACTCACTTCTGACTGTTCCTTCGAACGGCGAAAAGAGACTGAGAGTTTCCCAAAGTCTTAACAAGGGCGAAAAGAGACTGAGAGTTTCCCAAAGTCTTAACAAGGGCACTAACCCAACTCCCAGAGGCTGTTCCTTCATAACCCAATTCAAAGCCTTTACTTCTTACTTCCAGTGTGCCAGGGGTTAGGATTTCACCCTATGAGTTAGAGGGATGGAGATGCAAGCATTCAGAATTCACAACCATGGGAATGTGTGGTAGACTGACTAGGGACTATGCTGACAGCAATCCCTCCCCCCGCCCTTCTGCACTTTCCACAACAGAGGAAAGAAGACTTTCCAGCCCTCCAGGAACACATGTGGTTAGAAAAAATTAAGAACAAGCTGAACAAGAAGGCATACCACTCGGTACAACATTTTGTTGCAGATATGCGCCTCATCTTTCAGAACCACAGCATATTTTACAAAGTAAGAGCCTCTGCTTTGCTTTCTTTTCTCTCTGAAGTGAGTCATTTTTCCTCATGTCAATTCCCCTCATCATGGGGCAAGCCCATACAAGTCTAAGTTGAGGGAGGATTCAAAAAGTCCCATGATGCCGGTGGGGAAAGCAGCAGTGACTCACATTGGACCTCTGGAAGTTCACTTTGAGACAGTCAGTTTTCACACATTTTCATAGTATTCTTCTTCTTCTCCCAAGTCTTCCCAGGTCCTCCTCACCTCCCTATTCACTCAACTGCAGATTTTCTCCCTCTCAAAAAAAAAAAAAATGGTAAGCAAAACAAACTAAAAGAAACAGATAAACCAGACAAAAGATAGCAAAACAACACAAAAGTGTGTGTGCCCCCGCCCCCAGACACACACATGAACAAAGAACAAAAACCTAGAGGCTGTTTTATGTGGATCAGCTACTCCTGGGCACAGCGCCTGTCCTGAAAGGCTGATATACCCAGTGACACTCTGTTGGAGAAAAGTAACTTTCGCGGTCCCAGCAGATACTTACTGTGAATAGCTCTCTGATTAGGGGTATGACTAGGTGTTTACTTCTCAAGGATGAGATTTTGTCTGGTTTGAACCTCTGCAGGTCTTCCTTCAGCATCCCATCAGAGTCTCTATGTGTATGTGATGTAGGATTCCCCTCTATATGATGTAAGTGTCATTAGTTAATAAAGAAGCTGGTTTGGGCCTATTGCAGCACAGAATAGGGCAAGGCAGGAACTCCAAGCAGATAGAGGAGAGAATAGGCTGGATCACAGAGATACCATGTAGACACTGCAGGAGACAGACAGGCCAAAACCTTGCCAGTAAACCACGAGGCTTGTGTGTATGAGCTCTCCAGTGGCTTGATGATGCTGTTTCTTGAACTCATCACCACTTCAAGGTCTGACAGTCTCTGTGCCACTTCTTCCACTTAGATCCCTGAGCCTTGAGGCTGTTCTTGGCCTGCTTTTAATCCTAGTCCTCAGGAGACAGAGGCAGGTGGATCTCTGTGAGTTCAATGCCAGCCTGGTCTACAAGAACTAATTCTAGGACAGGGTCCAAAGCTACGGAGAACTCCTGTCTCAACCCCCCTCCAAAAAAGGCATTCCATTTAGAACTGAATGTTCCATAGTCAGTCTATGGACCTTGTCCAGTTGTGTGTCTGTTAATTCCCATCTACTGCAAGAAGCAGCTTCTCTGAGCAGTGCTGAGTGATGCTCTGCCTTTCCTTCTGACAGATACTAATATTAATAATACTTTAATAATAATTGTAATAAATAGAAATAAATCTTTTAAAAAATTGCCACAGAATTAGAAAATCCCACTTGTCATTGAATGGGGTGACCTAAGGTTAGGGGCATGTCTTTAAAACATGTTGTAATAAGAACGGCGGGGTTGCGTCCCCAGCACCCCAGCCGCCCACATGGCTTATGCCCCGAAATAATTACATGGAAACTGTATTCTTTTAAACACTGCTAGGCCCATTTCTATCTAGCCTCTTCTAGGCTAGCTCTCGCACCTGGACTAGCCCATTTCTAATAATCTAGGTAGCCCAAGAGCTGGCTTACCAGGAATGATCTTAGCCTGCGTCTGCCTGGACTGGGAGAATCATGGCGACTCCTTGACTCAGCTTCTTTCTCCCAGAATTCTGTTCTGTTTACTCAACCCACCTAAGGGTGGGCCTATCAAATGGGCCTAGCAGTTTCTTTATTGCTTAACCAATGAAATCAACAGATTGATATATGACACTCCCCCATCAAAAACACTTTCTCAAAGATCTGAGGGGAGACAAGAAGGAAATCTAAGCCAGTTTTAGTGAAAAGAAAGTACAGCCAGAGTCTAGAACACCACACAGAGGTCAAGGTAGACAACTGAGAGGTGGGGAAGGAGATACAATGACATTGTCACATTGAGTTTTTGTCCACTGAGGCATGAAGTGGGCATGAAAACTTCATCTTGTCCAGAGTGACATGAGTTTGGGGTGTAGGAACCATACTCCACTGTCCCTCATCAACCTAGAAAGAGCAATTAATATCACTCCATTACTTTTTATTTTAACTCTATTGTCAGTCAAAGACGGCTCTTCGTGCCCCAAATTTAGGATGAGTGTATGAGAAAAGATACAGGTAACTGAATTCATTGTCATTGACTTTACCTCCTACCGTTTGTTAGTGCTGGGCCCAAAAAGAATAAGTAACATTATATCAGTTTACCTTTTGTGGCTAGTTTGAGAACGTAATATCATCGTTTAGTTTAACTAAGCGTGACAAATGGCTTGCTGAAAGGGTACTTTTTGAAGGGTCTTGCTGCGTAGACCCGAACAGTCTTGAACTCACAGAGCTCCACCCGCCTCCACTTCCCTAGGATGAGACAGAAGGGTGTGCCACCACCACCGTGCTAGTATTTCCGTTTTAAGTTATTGCACTAAGATTCTGCCTCTTATTCAAATTTCGTAACTCCTTATCTAGCCTAATAAATTCCCAGGAAATTAAAAGTTCAGGGAAAGGAAGACTCTGCTCATTTCTGCTGTCATATCTCACCTAGACCAACATGGTAGAGTGGAAAATCTCATACCATGAAAACTTTGTTTCTTGCAACATATTTGAAATATATTGCATAAAATTGCTTCAGGTTATCTGTGAAATATTTATATAAACTGGATGAATTTTTTTAATTTTTGACTTCAATCCTATTTCTGTGGTGTCTCATCATGTATAGACAAATATCCCAGCATCTGAAACTCAAACCACTGCTGATCTCAGGCATGTGGAGCAAGGGATATTCAGCCTGCAATACTAGTTTTATTTCTGTCTTCCCAAGAAAAGACATAACCAAACTCTCAGGGAATATAACCTCTTTATTTAAAAAAAAAATGGTTACACTTCTATTTATTTTACTTTGGGGGGAAACAATGCCTCAGTGCAAGCCATGGAGCGGTGCATGTGGAGGTCTGGGAACAACTTGCTAGAGTCGGTCCCTTTCTACCACGTGGATCCCAGGATTGAACTCAGGCTGCTTAGCAACAGGTGTCTTTACCCACTGAGCCATCTCGCAGGCCCCATAACCTCCTCTTAGCTGGGTTAGACCTCAGCACTTGGAATAGTCTGAGCAAAGTTCTGGGCTATCCAGAGGATTGGTTGGCTGAGCTTAGCAAGCTATGGCAAGCACTAATTTCCTGATTCCTTTTCAGAATCACAGGTTCAGCAACCTTGGACTCAAAGTAGGAAGTCTATTTGAGGAGACTTTCAAAAGAATTTTTTCAATCCAAGGTACAAGCAAATAACATCAAACGTGTAAGCACATGAGTGGCTTTGTTCTCATCATCCTTTGTATTCCGTCCATCACCCAACCCTCCAGCCGTCAACTGCACAGTGCTCAGAGAGCCCACCCTCCCTTTTGCCCTTCTGTGTATACGCCCTGCCAACCTTCTACTTCCGACTTTCTGTATTGTCCTTCCAGTTCCTGTTTATTTACCTTCCTAAATAAAACTTAACGTTTGCAATGTACACCACAATGCTGAGCTGTCCGGTGCTGAGGGAGCCCACTGAGAAGGTGACTCTGGAAGCAGAGATGTACCCCTCCCCAATTTTAAACCCAAGTATACTGCCCCAAATGTCTCCAAAGCATCTTTTCTAAGGATGACCTGGCCCTTTGAACCAGTGACTGAGTGGAGATACCAACAAAACAGACCAAATATGAAAACAGTGTCCTTGGGAAGAACTAGAAGGTGAACCATGGCAAACAGATATTACAGTTGTTTATCCTGTGTAAAATGGAAAGGAGAAGCTGGAGAGAAAACCCAGCTGGGAACTGTGGCTGACTGCTCGGCTTCCACAGACAGTTTCTGCTGACTGTCTTGAACATCCAATTTGATAAGGTTGTCTCTCAGTTTCTGTTTATTCTTCAACCTGGAAGCCTCACCAAATGCTAACTCTGGTCTGCCCTGGACTCCACTGGGAACTCCAGACCCCACCCTCACCAATTCTACAGACATCCCCAGTCAGTTCCCCCTGGATATTCCAAGTACATGATGAGCAATGATCTGTTGTTTTTCTCTTTGGCTTGTTACATACTTAATAAACTCATTCAAAACTCAAAGTATGGCGGTCATTGTTGTTTCTCAGGATTGAGCAGAACATGACGGGGTGGGTCAACAGTCTCCACAAGATGCTATTTCTATTTTAAAGTCGTGACTCCCATAAAAAGTGAAAGAGAGTAGGACCAGACAATGGATAGAGTGACAATTCCCCCAACAGGCACCTGGCCTCTGCTCAGGATGGTAGAATAAAGGATCAAATGTCATCTAAGTCTAAAACTGCAGTTCACAGGGAAAGCATGTCAGGAATGGAGCATTCCAGGTACTTTCTACTTTCTCCTCTGCTTTTTCTTTACAAAGAGTGCTCACTGCTCAAAGTCATTGATAGCTGGGCAGACTCATGATGATGAATGTAAAACTTTCTCAAACTCCCAGATTCTGTGAGATCACAGGGAAAAGAAGATAAAAATCCAAGTTGTGAGGAGCTTTGTCTGAGATTTGTAACAACAGCAAAAGGCTTGGTATTTGAACAGTATGTACAAACAGGAGACCTCAGTTTGGTACATTGTACAAGGTTTGTAATTTAGATTCAATTCCTGTATTGAAGGTTATTAAAAATCCCTGAAGAAATTGATTTGCTTATAGCAACATTCATAATAACTAGCTTAAAAAACAAAATTGTGTGTCTAATTAAGATGGTTGCTTGTATTTTTTCCAACTTTGTTAGGCTTTTAATCACTTCCAAAAGTAAGTCTCTTAGCAAAATTAGGACTTACTTAAAAACTGCTTCATGGCGGCTAGGGGTAGTTTTATGTGAACTTGGCACGAACCAGAGCTATTTGGAAAGAGAAAACAGCAGCAGAGAAAGTGCCAGTACGAGAATGGCCCACAGGGCATATTTTTGACTGATGAGCAGTGTGGGAATCCTAACTTATCATGGGCGTTGTCCCTGGGTGCTATAAGAAAGCAGACTGAGCAAGTCATGGAAGCAAACCAGTAAGCAGCCCTCCTCCGTGTGTCTCTTATCAGTTCCAGCTTCCAGGTTCTCGCCTTGAATTCCTGCCCTGGTTTCCTTGAATGATAGACTCTAAGCTGTAACCTAAAATAAACCTTTTCCTCTCCAAGTCAATTTTGCTCATGGTGTTTATCACAGCAATAGAAACCCTAACCAAGACATGTTTTCTTTTTGTGGGTTTTTGTTTGCTTGTTTGTCTAAACTTTCTCTAAATGTTATACACGGTTTAGCATCATGAAACTAGTAAGGCTGTCCTTCTGTGAAGATAAAGGGCTTAGAAAGAAACTCATTTTTAACCCTTACACTCCAAAGCCAGCCAGTACCTCCTAGACAAGGAATCCTGCTAAGTTACCTGGCCTCTTGATCAGACAGGCCCTGGAGTCTCCAGCAATTGGATTCTGATCCATGGACATTCCACAGGGAGGAGAACCAATGGAGACAGACATGTTCCCTATGATTCCAAAGGAAGACAAATGATCTGCAGGGTCCTGACACTTCACTGCAGACCACACAGCTGATAGAGGAAAGCTATGGTAGCCAATGGGTCACTCCTAAACCCCTAAGTGAAACACATACAGAGTCTCAACAGACTTTACAAACAGGAAGGTTTGTCTTTGGCCACCTACATGGTCTTAGATACCAAAAAGGAAAGTATAATCAAAACAACTGCCAATCAGATAGTCAGACTTTAGCCAGTTTTAAAAGGAACTCTGCTAAATGTCATAAAGTCGCTAACTGGATTCACCTGTTCAAGAATAAACTTTATTTCCCAGGAAGCATCTAAAATAAAAGACAAGGGAGACTAGAACAATAAACAAACTGGGGACATATACTTTGTCTTCAAAAGGGACCCCGAACCTCAGGTAAAAGCTGGATGTGGTGGTGGCACACGTCTTTAATCCCAGTACTCGGGAGGCAGAGGCAGACATATCTCTGTGAGTTAAAGACTAGCCTGCTCTACAGAGTGGGTTCCAGGGCAGCCAGGGATATTTGTCTCAAAACAAAACAAAACAAAACCTGGACCCATTAGGCAAGTTTTTCCTTGAACATTCCCTGGCTCTATTGATGATGGCTAAGCAGGTTTGTTTCATAATTCATCAAATTTTTCCTGAGACATCATATCCTACACTGTTGCTCTCTGTTCTTTCGCTTGGAAGCCTCATCTGAAGAAATCCTGCCCAGCCCTAGACTCTATGTGGAACTCCAAACGACTTTCTCAATGGGGCTTCTGTGGTCTATGTCTGGGAGCATTCAATTAGATATTGTTTTACTATCTATAATTTTACTTTGATTTGCTATATAATTAATAAATTCACTCATTCCAAACCATTTTATTAAGTTCTCTTATTCAGTGTATTAAGAATAAAGGGATTTTATTCAGAAAAAAATAAAGTTTAGGTTCCCAAGACCTCCCTGGGTAACTGACACCCTGGTTGACAAGCTGCGGCATGAATGGTGGGCAAGCTGCCCTGCCACACTTGAGTGAACCAGCCAATGGGAACAAGGTAAGTGCACCAAAGAACAAGGCTTCTAGGAAAGTCCCTAACCTCTGAGTCAAGGTTCTCTAGAGGAACAGAATTTACAGAATGGATATTTATAGTTGTAGATAAATACATATGTGCATATATGTATATATATATATGCATTATACATATATACATATATATATATATATATATATACACACACACATAAATATAGTTGTGGATCTGAGGCTTGAAACAACCCAAGCAGACACAAGAAGTCACACAAAGCAAGGTTTTGTTACTGAGGAGCATGGCAGAAGTCCAATCAGGGACAACAGTACAGACTTGGGAGCTGACTGCATCCCCAAACGTTCATGTGTTTAAGCACAAAAACCACAATCATCTCTGCCAGGTTGCAGTTATATGTTCCCACCAATCAGGCTTCAGAGGTTAGGGACTTTCCTAGAAGCCTTGTTCTTTGGTGCACTTACCTTGTTCCCATTGGCTGGTTCACTCAAGTGTGGCAGGGCAGCTTGCCCATCATTCATGCCTCAGCTTGTCAACCAGGGTGTCAGTTACCCAGGGAGGTCTTGGGAACCTAAACTTTATTTTTTTCTAAATAAAATCCCTTTATTCTTTACTATTTGTTTATGCTTTTTCAATTCTTTGAACAACATGCCTGAAAACACCTGATCCAGACAGACACTCCGAGCAGCATCACTTTGAGGCCGAGGCTAGCCTTCTGCCTCATCCTCATAGGTATTCACAAATACAGTCAGCTAATGGACACTCAGGACATTCAAGAACTCTATGCAAGGAAATGGGAATAAAGGCTATTATGCTTCAGATAGTTATGGTTATATGAAAGGGAAAAATCAAAATAAAACTTGTAAGTGACCCATTTTCTTTTGACTCTATCAATAAAGCCAGAGACTATTATTGTCTAACCTCTCTGCTGTGGGGTACCCACAAGAGAAGACTGCTTGGACACATATTTAATCCAGTGAAAATCTTTATTAGCCAACCAGTGACCACATTAGGTGTTTCAGATCTCAGTGTGGCCCTAAAGTTTGTACGTACAAAATTAATGTTCTGGGTTGAGTGTTTCCATTAACAAGAACCATTAGCCAGAACCAGAGCTACATGAGCCAAAAGGCATGGTTGAACATTTAGAGACTTTCCCAGAACTATGGACTTTGAGGGATTCGTTCTTCATTTTCATTTTAGCAGGTGGTACTGTCCATATGCTGAGTTTTACAGGTTGAGCGGTACTTCCATCATGGAGTCAGTTGTGCTAAGGTCTGGGGGGCTTACTAAGGTCTGGAACCACATCTTCACAAGGGTCATAAAAAGTAAGGTGTAGAGAATGGGCGGCTGGGCTCTTCGATGTCCCCCAAGAATGGAGAGTCAGGAAACAGGAGACCTGATCTCCTAAGGGAACCTCTGCATTCTGGAGCCCAGGGTACATGATCCTCACCCTCCTCATCATCCACCTGCTGCCTGCGTCTCGGTGTCAAGGTGAAGAGTTCCAGGAGTTCGCTCTCATCTTCCTCATCACTGCTGATCACTGCACAGCAATACAAAACCCCTTAGGGCTCTCGGTGAATGACCTCAAAGCTGATTCTACTGGAACCCCAGAATGCAGACACAGGGATGACCCAGAAGCTTGGGCAATGTTTAGGTAGCAATGCCCCTGCCATAGTTGGTCCCTCCACTGTGTTCTACTCAATGCTGACTTTGAGGTGGCTTTGGTTATCCCAAAGCCTTACTGTCACATCTCCATCTCCTTAGGCTCTTTTCCCCCTTCCTGCTGTCTCTACCCATTTCTCTGTCCCTGCTGGCCCCTCCCTCTGCCTTCTCTCACTCTGTGGATCCCCATTGCTTTCTGCCTCTACCCCATCCCCACTACCCACACACACACCCTTGGCTTCCTTGTCTAACATTTCCTTGTAACTCTTTCCTCCCAGATCTCTTAAAACCATCCCATTGCCTACTTGCTTTCCTAATTAATGGAGTGCCAGAGCCCATGGCTCCCTGCATCTATCTGGGGCTCCCAGGGCCACCGAGCTGGACTCTGATCACATGCTCAGCCAGTCACCTCCACTGTGACTTAGAAGGGTCACCCATCAGCACAGGCATCTTAAGTTATCCTTACCAATGACGTCATCCTCTTGGTTCTGCAATGTCCCTAGCTTCTGTAAGCTTTCTTGTTTCACAAAACAAGGTTGCATCCAATTTTCATGTGTACGTAGGTTTGTCCCTGAAAAAGAAGAGAATGTTACTTGAAGAATTCTCATCTGCTCCCTTGAAAAGGCTTCATGGATCCTGTTCTCTCTCCCCTGACACTTGACTGAAGAGCACGAGGATAGTGCTAAACTTTTGACACCTTAGCCAAGAGTTGTTGACTCACCTATTAACACAGGGTCAATCATGAGTTCAAGATCAACATGGCTACGTAAAATAAGAACTGGTCTCAAAAAGAGAGGGAAGGAGGGAGGGAGAGAAGAAGAAGAAAGGAAGGAAGGAAGGAGCCTTCACACTTATTTTTTTCTACCTCACCCTACAGCACACC